TGGCCGGTAACTCATACGAGAGCCAACTCTCATCCATCATGTCCGGAACCGGTGGGGTTTCTCAATACTTCGATATATTACCCATGTGAATCGGGCTCTGGAATGGTGGGAGGGACCTCTTCAACGATGACAGTTGCCTCTTGAACGGTGGGAGGGGACTCTCGAGGAATGATATGGGGGGCCTCTTCAACGATAGGAGTGGACTCTTGAGGGATGACAGGCGAGTCGGGCTTCTTCTTGCGGTGTCTTCGCACTATTGGGGTGTACGGAGACTTAATAGCACGTGCACGCTGTCTGATGCGTGAACTCCGTCGTGCAAGCATAACCCGACGTAAAGCATCCACTCTATCGGGCCGCTAAATAATTAAATACAAAAATCAGTAAATAAACAGACATGATATTTAAACAGTGAAAACAAAGACAAATATGTTTCAAACTTGCATTGTATTCACCCAAGTCATTATTCTATCATAGTTCACAAATGCATCAGATAACAAAGAAAAATATGTTTCAAACTAATACCCTGAAGTTAGTATTTGTCTTTGATTTGTCTATTGGTTGAAGTAATGCAATCCATTCAAGTTTCAATTTGCAGAAGAAGAAATAGTTTACTTTCGCAACACGAAACTTAAAATCGCAACGCGAAACCAAAATCGCAACGCGAAATGAAAATCGCAACGACAGAATCGCAATGCGAAATGAAAATCGCAACGAAAGAATCGCAACGCGAAATGAAAATCGCAATGCGATTTTGGTTTCGCGTTGCGATCTTGTCGTTGCGATTTTGGTTTCGCGTTGCGATTCTGTCGTTGCGATTTTCATTTCGCGTTGCGATTTTGGTTTCGCGTTGCGATTTTAAGTTTCGTGTTGCGAAAGTAAACTATTTCTTCTTCTGCAAATTGAAACTTGAATGGATAAATTTACTTTCAACCAAAAGACAAAACAAAGACAAATACTATTTCACAGTGTTAAAGAATACACAGTTTAGCAGAATTGGCAGCAACCGAACAAATTTACTTTCAACCAAAAGACAAAACAAAGACAAATACTATTTCACAGTGTTAAAGAATACACAGTTTAGCAGAATTGGCAGCAACCGAACAAATTTACTTTCAACCAAAAGACAAAACAAAGACAAATATATTTCACAGTGTTAAAGAATACACAGTTTAGCAGAATTGGCAGCAACCGAACAAATTTACTTTCAACCAAAAGACAAACAAAGACAAATACTATTTCACAGTGTTAAAGAATACACAGTTTAGCAGAATTGGCAGCAACCGAACAAATTTACTAAGCAATCTAAGTGAAATGGCTAATCTAAGTGAAATTACGAGTAAATTTATCATTAAGTTAAATATGGAAAATCTTAAACTTACCTCGTTGCGTAGAGTATGAACCTCATTCTGCAACGATACTATCATCTCACGTAGAGCGGCAACCTCACCACGTAAAGTTGACACCTCCACACGCCATGCACCATCGTTATCGCGTAGAGTACCGATCTCCTCACGCAAGGCATTGACCTCATCACGTAACTCCCTTGACTCATCCCGTTGAGGTGGAGGTGGAGAACAGGGAGATAGGAGTCGTGGCATCTTTGCCGGTCGCCTATCATGAGGTGATGGTGGAGAAGAGGCTCGATGATGTGACGGGATAGGTGATGGCTCTCGTTCTAGAGATGTATAGTCGGGTCGATCGGGTGATGGCTCTAGGTGAGGTGATGGCTCTCGAATTGGAGGAAGTGGATGCTGCTCATCATCCGTGCCATCAAAAAAATTCTGACTAGCTTGCCACCAATCAGTGGCAAGCTCTTCCTCCGTGGGTGTCAGTCTTTGTAATGGAATGTTGGCCTCCTAAAATATAAAAACTCAAACAAAGTTAAACGTCTACTATTAATAACTTGTTTATATATTATATGAAAGTATTTGTGTTAACTTACATTATTTATTGTGGCATATGGTATTAAGTCTTCCCAATCCAACAGAGTTTTCCTCTTCCAGGAAATAGCCCTGGGAATATCATTTGACGTTTTTATTGCATATGTACGCATACTGGGGAAAGCCTCGAATATCCAAATCTACAAACAATATAATAACAAAATTAGTAATTGTTAAATAATTAATTATAATTTTAGAAACATTATATAGAAATTCTTACCTTAAAGGCCCAAACAAAGCCTGACAAAGTGTATTTGGACCCATCGCCCCGCAAACTTTTGCGGTCATCAAAGGCAGACGACAACTTAGTCCAGGTAGCTTTCCATATACGAACCCCACGGAAACAGATTCCATGCATTCAGGTCCTCTACCAATATTATTAGCTCCCGATGAATAGGTTGTCTGGCCTCTCTGCCTAAAAAGCCGGCATACACAAGTAGTAGAAGGCATACTCGGACAACATCGACGTCTTCCATCCGAGTGAAACCAGCTTTCTTATTAAATAATTTCTTCAGGTCGTCGACATGTAGGTTCGGCTTCTCCATTGACTCATCCGGAAAAACCCGGGATAACCATGATGGGCGGGCGATATGACGAGTGTACCGGCCTACATCATCGTGTCCGAATCGTAGACCAGTGATTAAGCAGAACTCCTTCCGCCCAAAGCAAGTATACGCTGGTGGAAAATGAAACCATATCTCTTCCTCACCACGTTGTATACTGTCGGGTAGATTTGATGTCATGGTCTGAAGCCACAATGGGTCAAATTAGCATCTCCACCCGGATGCTGTACTCTCAGCCATGGCCCGAAGCAGGTTTTCCTCAAACAATTGTCTTTGAGCAGGTGAAAGCTTCTTTGCAATTGTAGTGGCCAGGCTGACTTTATTTCTCAAGGTCAATTGAGCCGAAAAAATTTCTACAAAAACAATAAACATACCAAGTTAGATATACCAAAAACTACACTGTGAAGATATACCAAAAACAATAAACATAAAAAGTAGTAGTTTATTCTTTAAACTAAAATTTGCAACACTGTTTTGTCTTTTGGTTGAAATGAAAATCGCAACGAGAGAATCGCAACGCGAGATGACAATCGCAACGATAGAATCGCAACGCGAAATGAAAATCGCAACGAGAGAATCGCAACGCGAAATGAAAATCGCAATGCGATTTTGGTTTCGCGTTGCGATTCTCTCGTTGCGATTTCCATTTCGCGTTGCGATTCTCTCGTTGCGACAGTCATTCTCTCGTTGCGATTTTCATTTATCTCGTTGCGACTCTTCTGCAAATTGAAACTTGAATGGATTGCATTACTTCAACCAAAAGACAGAACAAAGACAAAGACAAATACTAACTTGAAAATCGCAACGAGAGAATAGCAACGCGAAATGAAAATCGCAACGACAGAATCGTAACGCGAAATGAAATCTAAGTGAAATGGTTAATCTATTATTGAAATGACCAGTAAACTTATCATCAGTTTCAATATGAAAAACCTACAATAATGCAAACATTTCAAAATAAAAATAATTAAAAAAACTAACCCTCGGAGGTTGATTTTCCATTTCTGAATATTGTGAGGGATTTCTGACCGTGAATGGTTGTGAGGGATTTCGCCGGAGATGGGGACGGAAATCTTCGGAGATGGGGACGGATTTCTTCGCCGTAGAGAGTGAGAGATGGAGATGGGACTGAGTTGTGATTTTAGGTTTTAGGTTATGAGTTGCGATTACGGGATTTTGTCTTAATATTCTTTTTGTAATTTGAAAATAAAATACGCGTAGCGATTATAATGACGCTTTAAATATCGCGTTGCGATTTACGGATACGCGTTGCGATTTTATGTATTATCGTTGCGATTTACGGATACGCGTTGCGATATACGGATACGCATTGCGATTTACCCATACGCGTTGCGATTTACGGATACACGTTGCGATTTACGGATACGCGTTGCGATTTATGTGTTCGCGTTGCGATTTTCATATTCGCGTTGCGATTTTGGAAAATCGCAATGCGAATTTGTACTATCGCATCGCGATTTTCAAGAATCGCGTTGCGATTTTGGAAACTGATTTGCGATTCTGGAAACTGATTTGCGATTCTGGGGATCGCGTTGCGATTTTTATTTCGCGTTGCGATTTTGTTGGTCATTTTGGCAAATCCAAAAAAAGTTGGTTAAAATCGTATATTATAACTTTTTTTTGGTCACTGAGGCGATTTTCTCTTTATCAAATTGTGCTTATTATATATTTGTTTTTAACAAGTTGAATTATACTATAATTTTACTATAATTAATTTATATATTTTCTTTAAAAAAATTAATTCATAAAATTTATATATTTTTTTACAAAATTGAAAAGATAAATATGTTAAATGAAAGGGTAAAATTTTATTTTAACCCATAAACTTCATATAAAATTCTAATTATGGACTTTTTTTTATAAATCTAAAATAGTTAAAGGTTAAATTTGTAATTTAACCTTCGTAAAAAAAATTTATTCAACGACATAAGAAGAATATTTTTGAAAAAAATTAAGGTTATTTTAGTCCAAAGCGTCGAGAATGTAACAATACCTAAGAGAATAGGGAGAATCACATTCCTGGTAATAAGCTCCCAAAATATCACTGTTGGGAATAAAAGATTACTGGGAGTTGGAAATGTTTGCAATCCAAACGGGGGAATGATATTTCATTCCCCCGGTAATCCAAGATTATTTGAACCCAACATCCCCTCAGTACGTGATACGAGTACATAATCATTTTAGACATATAACATATACAACGTCTATATTTTGAAGATATAAAATTTATTACATCAACAATAAATATTGATCATTGTTCTACTAATGATTACATATAATTAATAGACATTTTATTTAAAAATAAAACGTGAAGGCATATAGAAATATGGTTTTGTTGTTATTGTATTATTTTTTTTAGAAGGGCCCCAACCCACACAAAAATGAAAATAAACGAAATGGACTTCAAATCTATACTTCTACTATTTCTCGGTTCCCTTAACAATGTTTAATTTTCCGCTCTTCCTCTGGGACTCTTTGTTCATCCATGGTTGAGGACTATTGTTGAACTCTTTCCCTAAAAAAATGGCTTCATCTCTGTTCACTCTGCTTTTCCTAAGACGCCTCACACTCTCTTCTAAACCCCAACTTAAACCCCACAGCTTTCCTCCCTCCTCACTCTCCACCATCGTTAAACCAAAGCCCTTCTCTTCTGTTTCCCCGCAACCTGAGGGACTTTCCAGTCACGAGTCATTGAAAGCAACCTCTCTCTCGGCGCGTTTGGACTTTGTATTTGACCAAATTGATCAAATTGAGAAACAAAAACAACAACAATCGCTCGAGAACGACGACACCCTCCAACGTATCCGAGCTTGGCGTCAATCAAAAAAGGAATCTCAACCAACCCAACACCAATTTCAATCCAAAGAAAAAAACCCAGATTCCGGAATTACTAGAAATGATGAAAATCCTACTGAGTTCAGTTCTTCACCCTCGCCCGAGTTAACCGAGTCACAAACCAATGGTGCCCTTCGGCGGATTCGTGCTTGGAGGGAATCCAAGTATGGGGGAAATAAAGAATGTACAGAAGGTGAAGCTGCTGAAAATGAGTCTAAAGTTAGTGTTTTAACGACTGATCCAGTGACTGAGCTAGAACTGGGGAGGCAAAAGGGGAAGGACTTGGAGGTGGTGCATCTATGGCCGGAGTGGATAGAGTTGATGGAGAGATTAGTGCAGCAAAACTACTTTGATCATAAAAGAAGAGACGAGGAGAAGATGGTGGAAGAGATGGGATTCGATATGAGTAATGTTGCTGAGGAAGTCAAGGATGATGCTGGAATTGATTTTAAGGACTTCAAGACTGTGCAAACTGCTTGTCTTAATTTCGGGAAGGACCGTTTTGATATATTGAGGTTTGTGTAGTAGTTTTTTTCTTCAAATAATGATTGAAATTGTTTTTGAAATGAGATGGACTAGTTTGATTATATGTAATTTGTTACATATTGATTGATTTAGTTTCTTAGAATTTAAGTTTCGATGGAAGATTAATCATATTGATCATATAAGTGATTGAATTGTTGTAAATATTGGAATGCTCTTATGTTGCAACTGAATTGCAACCAGCCAAATTGGATTTCACGTTTTGATGCTCTTAACATAATATCGGCTATTTTGTTTTTGTTAAGAATGGTCATTGATGTGTATCTGGAACATAATTGTTGCGAGTGGTTTCATAAATAATCAATAGTTTGGTTATAATGAGATAAAGAGATGATCATTTCCAAATTTGATTTGGAGTTTCTCATTTTTTATCCTTTGTTTGTTTAGCAATTGATCTAATAGTGCTTGAATTGTTGCTTTTCCCGAAGATGGGAAATGGCTGAGAAAATCCTAGTTATTTCATGTTTCTGATTGTGTTGCCTTCCTGCTGTAGCCGTTTTAGTTGTTCGTTTCGTATGTTGTTTACTGATCTCAATCTAAGACGGTATGCCCTTCCCCAGGCAGATTATTTCCTCTGTAGATTTCGTTTGCTTCTTTGGATGAATTCAATTACCAAAAAAGAATGTTTATAGGATTTATTTGGATCATATGTTTGATTAATGCTACTTTGCTGAAATAGAAATTTAATTTCAGGTCATTATCGAGACAGGATATCCAAAATTTGGTTGGTTTTGGATGCCCAAGTGCAGACAAGAAGGTGGTTTTCTCTGCTAAAGTCTTGAGGAAATATGTTCAACTTGATGAAGGAGATGTAAGTATTAATTTCGTTACTACTTTGTTGTTTGCTCATATCTAACAAGCTTCCGCAATTGTTGCTTCCTTTCCGTTTGTCCCTTTAATTATTTGAGGTATTCGCGCGTATCAGGTTTGTAGTTCCTGCAGTTTGAGGAATTCTTGTGAGAAAGCATATCTCCCAACGAACAAAGAGGACGAGGCACGGACTACCGATGTTATGCGTGTCCTGTTGACCTATGGTTTTGATTATGTCAATGGTTCCATCGTAAATGAATCTGTTCTGAAACAGAAGTCTTTAAAGACTGTTGTCCGTAAGTTGCTTTACGAGGTTGTGAAGTTGAGTTCCGTTCCCATAGACCCGAATCTTCCACCTCCTGTATTTAAGAAGCCTCCACCAAAAGTGAAGCAACCTCCTCCTCCTCCAAAGAAGCGTGTAGGGCGGGATGACATTGAGATGAAGAAGGGTGATTGGCTATGTCCCAAGTATGTGAACTCCATAAACCTTACTGAACTTGTTCAGTGTTTCACGTTTACAAATTTAAACTCACTTTAATCTCTGGCATCGTTGACTGTTTGGTCTCAGGTGCAACTTCATGAATTTCGCAAAGAATACGGTCTGTCTACAGTGTGATGCCAAGCGTCCCAAGAGACAATTGCTTCCTGGAGAATGGGAATGTCCAGAGTAAGATTACTTTCTTTCCCTTGCAAATTCCACTTCAGATTTTAACGCAAATCATATTTACCAAAGTTCATTTGTTGTATATGATTCCCCGTGTTCCTCTATCGTAGTTTTATATGTTGAATTTTGTTCGTGTTGCTTCTTGTTATTGTGCTATGGCAGGTGCAATTTCTTAAACTACAGGAGAAATATGGCATGTTTTCATTGTGATTGCAAGCGACCACCTGATGCCTTTATGGAGAGTAAAATACAAGAAACTCGACCCGGTTCAAGAACAAGGTTGGAGAAGGCTGCCTGGCGATCCGAGGTCTCTAATGGTTGGAATTTTGACTTTGATGATGATGAATCAGATGGGGCAGATGTTGCTGGCTTTGAGTATGCAGATTCTTCGCTAAAGGGTGAAGCTTCTCCTTTGGGCAATCAGGCTCATGGAGGGAAGTTTAGAGGGCTTGAAGATGATTTCGATACTTCTCGCCGAGCCTCGAGGGTCCATGAAAGGGTATATTCAGATACTGATAGCAGTAAACTTGGAATCGGGTTTGATGATTTTGATGATGAAGATGATATTGATAGTTATGAGATAGATTCCCAGCAAAATAATCCAAGGCAGAAAGCTTCTTTGAATGCTTACTCTGATAAAGAGCTGTTTTTGGAGTTTGAAGATAGTGATAGTTCTAATAATAGTAATGTTGCTGGTCAAAGGACAAGGTTTCCATCTTACAGCAAACCATCTAAACACGAGCGTAAAAAAGTAATGTTATCCGACACCGAGGATGAATTAGATTTTGATTCAGATGAAGACCTTTCAGTTCGTCGAAACTGGAAATCGAGGCATGTATCTGACTCTAAGCATAGGAGTGGAGGCAACTTGCATCACAGAGGAAGTTCTGGTTTTCAAGGTGTCTCCTTCTCCGGTTCGGACTATGAAAATGATGGCCCACAGTCCAAGAGAAATGAGTCGAGACAGAATAAACTAGGATCTACCAGACTTGGAAACAATGCGAGCAACCGTGGTGATTATAACTTGAGAAACGATTCACGATCTAGGTCGAACACCAAGATGAATGGCGGAAGAAACTACTCCGATAATTCTGATAGATCATATCGAGATTCCCGGTGCAATAATAGGAGGTTTGGAGAGGATGATTATGGCAAACAGATAACAAATAACATGCAGAAATTCAAGGGAGGTAAGAAAGATGGAGCATCCGGAAATCGGTACCGTGGAAAGTCTCGTGAACATAGTAGGGAGATGGATGATCCTAGTGAATTTAAAAATAGCAGGCGTGTTATTGAAAGATAAGTCGAAATTGTGACCCATTTTTTAATTATCTTTTGAATGCGGGCAATCCTATAGAAACTTTGTATTTGTAGCTCAATTTACATACCCGGACTGGAATTCTTGTGCATAAGAGATAACAGAAGCAACACAATTTATATACCCAAACACAAAACTTACATGTTGAAGGAATTGGCTAGGCCTTGGATAAAAGATGGTATAATCATGAAGTGAATACCAACTGAAATCTGTAATTTTTTTTAGGGAAAAGACTATAATGTATACAACTAATGAAACAGAGATCAAAAGATTTTAAATACATCACAACATGGTGTATCACCCATCATACACTTCACCCCCCTTCTTTTTTCTCTTCCTTCTTTTCCTGCCCCATTTTTTCTTTTCTGTTAGCAATAGGTTCATGACATGGGAGCTGTTCCAGCAGCAATGGTTGAGTTGACAATTATCAGGTTATTGAAATGAAGGGTGAATATCGAAAATACTCACAATTTACACATCATGCTTTTCTCTTTGATATTCCTATCCTAACAATTGTTGGGGCTTTTAGAGTGAAGAAGCCCCACCAATAAAACAACTCGAGATTAACAAATAAGACCACTCAGCATGGGAGCGCCAGACGGAGGGGATGGAGGAGCATAGGGAAAAAACTGGAATTCACTGAAATTAATGGATCTTACTCGATCCCACCATAGTAAAACCCTCTTACAAGAATTACATCTCGATCTTTTCGAGCTAAACACCAAGCAAGAACTTAAACACATCACTCAATGAAATGATTCCTTCTACTCGCCTGCTGCCGGCCTCCACAATCACAAGTCTCCTAGCCCCTGTGCGAATACAAGCACTAATGCATTATAGACTAGATCGTATTGGAGAACAGATGAAAAGGAAGCTTCATTCTTCAAAGGGAATATCATAAGAGAATAGGTGAAAAAGATACCAGCATTTGCCAACTGCTCCATCACTTTGTGCAAAGTATCGAATCGTAGACACATCTGACATCTTTGTCCATTGAAAGAATTTGCATCTTGACTCAGTTGCAAGGCCTGCAAGATCATTTTCGTTAGTAAGGAGAGCTCTTTTTCTACTTGCAGTTTATCGAAACAGACAGCACTGCAGGCATAAATGACGTTTTTCAATTACCTGATGAATGCTCATTTGTAAGGAGAGCTCCTTTGCTAAAGCTGTTATATCACTGTCAAGCAAACAAGCAGAGGACAACTTTTGTAAGGAACATAATTAATTAGTTTGGCATCCAGAAGTTTCTTCTTTTATAATTTAAATTCCCCACTTGAAAAAGAAACAGATTACCTCCGTGAATATACGTCAAGCAACGAGTCATTCTCATCCACGATTGGTATCGAACTCACATTGGCTGCAAAAGGTGTGATCTTGTAAGATGACTAACAAAAGATGAGGAAACGTTAAAGAGAAGAGAGAAAGAAGGGACTAAAGAGACAACGACCAATAAGTACTGCCAGTCACTAGACGGCATTAAGCCATTCCCTCGAAAAAGAACATAAAGGAAAAAGGAAGAAATAATGCTTCTAAAACCAAAATAGTAATGATGCGATAGTAACTGTTCAACAATACCGACTCTTGATACCTACAATGAACTGACTTAATATCAGTAGTCAAATATATAACATAAACGTTAACCAAAAAGCTAAGCAACAAGCTCGACATGCAGTGAAAACATGTAGATGCAAAATGTAACATTTCTAATTCAATATCATACGAACGCATGCTTAAAATCTGTTCTCCATTTTCCCACTGTGTTATAATTTATGTCATATATACAAACTGCAGCGGCAGCTTAAACCCTTGAGCTCAAAGGCTACAGGTTACCTTGAATCAACAATGATAAGGCAGCACCAAGAGAGGCATTTGGTCGCAGCATTGCCAGTGGCCTACCATTTGATTCCCCAATATTTGGTACCCAAGTACCCAAGGAATTGAACAAATTGGCTGTTGAAGAACAGGCAAGGAACTAGAAGAATGTTTAAAATATCTGCATATACCTGAAAATTAGGCTTCGGTTAGAAATAACTCATGCACCCTAAACAAACAAGTTAAGGATCATGTACCTTCAGCTTACATTTTAGAACTTCAGACAAAGTGGCAAGATTTAGCAGTTGCGGAAGTGAGCCATCTGGTGATGAAGAATGAATGATGGGAACAACAGCCACCTTACTCTTTAAAATCCTCAGAGCAACATCCTTCAAAGTATCGTAAGGCCCAGCCTGCATAAAATGATACTAAAATGTTGCATACTGATACCAAAGTAACTGAACATTCTAAAAGTTAGCTCTAACTTCACTGAAGTCCAGTTTCTATCAAAAGAAGTATATGATAAATAAAAGTACAGTGAGGTTTCATTAGAAACATGGGCTATGAAAGAAAGGTTACAGGAGCCTAAAAATAGGTAATTCATTCTATAATAAATATAGGGGCGAAACATCAAGATTGAGTTCCCTCAATTACATGAGAACCCAAATAATCATCATTCCAAAATTTGGAACTGCACACCAAGAAAGAAATCACCAATTCACCATCAATTTTTCATGAATAGATTCCAGAATAGTCTACTACAAAAGGCAATAGGTAAATATTGGGAGATAAGAAAAAATCCAGACCCTAATAATTTCAACAGTAGACCTAATCTTTCTAACCAAAAGCAGGTGTTTCATTTAACATTCGAGCAAAAACAGCAGGTGTTTCATTTAACATTCGAGCAGGGAATTAAGTACTAATGAGGTAATTTTTCCACCTTCATGAATCATCCAGAAAAAGGAAACAAATCAAAATAAATCAAAGGCAAACATGAATGATTTAGAGATGCTAGATTATCCTGGAAACGAAGCACTTACATGAACAAGATGTCTAGGATATGATCTTGCATTGCCATCAATCTGTCTGCTAAGATGCACCTTTCCCTCTTTCCAAAATGATATCGTGTGTGTCTCTAATTCTTCCTCTGTCAAATTCGAGCCATGATTTCCCAACTGTCCTTCAAAGGATTATACATGTTAAACGCACTCAAGCTACATTATTGCAAATAAGGGGAAAAATACCATATATTTCTGCATCTCAACTAGTATGTCTCAAAAAGCTTTAAAACACCTCATGAGTACTCCTAAAAATATATGTTACCATAACTACTGATTTTCAGTGACTCAAAATATATGGTTAGACACGGAAGAAAAAGGAAAAAAAATACTGTCAGAAGCATGTCTTCATGGTTAAATAACTCTAAACATTTAAAGTTCACCAATATTCTCAACCATTATCTATCAGATTCAGTAACATCTAGTCCATCATTCTGGGGTGTATTAAGTAAGAAGGTTCATATGGTGATTTGTAACTTTCAACCTCTTACTATAAATATGAGAGGCTCCCAGCAGTTAGGTGGCTCTCCGGTTTTTCATTCCTATATGTATCTGACTCTTTCTCTTGACAATCATGGTCATCTGTTAAGTTCAGCATAATTAGAATGAAGCATGGTTAATTTCATAGAGTTCTGTTGAAAGTACCAGTGGCTCATCTATTTCAGGCAAGTACATTCCCTAATTCATACATCACCAGGTCTCTAAACTGATATCAATTAAGTTGCTAAATTATATTCCTATTGAACTGAAGTTTTGTCAGAATTTTATCACAGCTTGGCTTTGACATGCGAAGGAAAAACTCAACATTTTCTCCCGAACTCACCTCTCTTAGGATAAGGATAAAGTCCAATGCACTAAGAACTCCAACGAACTGGCCCTTGAGAGAATCCCAGAGAGGAGCCACAGGAATTCCCTACACATAGCATAAATAAGCAAAGATAATATCTGAGCTAATAATCAGCAGAGTGAAAAGTAAAGCCTTGACAAATTGCACACAGCAGTGAAGGGTAAAAAATCTAAACAAACCCTTCCAGAAAAATATATAAAAACTAAAGGTACATTATATATGACAAAGAAACTAGTAAAGTAGATATTACATCAAAGAAGATACGAAAGGTCAAAAGAAAGGGGGAGAGAAAAGGGAACTAGAATAACAAAAAAAAGCACATGCACCACGAGGTTAATCTTCTTTCTGGATGAAAACTAGGAAACACTAGCAAAACCTTTATGTGTAGTGACTTTGCATGTCTTTTCATTTCTGCATGTTTTTTGAGCTTATAAAAGAGATTCACCTGTTCATACAGAATATGGAATGCTTGTTTCACTGCTATATTAACATCCAAGGCAATAACCTGCAACAACGGATGCATTCAGATAGAATCAGCCTCAAGCCACCACCCACAATAAGTTACCACATAAATAGCTCCAAGAGAAAGGTAATGCATTCAAACCTTGCCCAAGTCCGGAAGCAACTCATATGCAGTATGTCTTGACAAGAAAGTGGCTAAGCGGTGCCGAGAGACCTCTAAATCTGCACCTGACATGGTTGGAACTGGTTCCTACAAGTGATCCCCATAAAGGACATGAGTGCTTATGCATCTAAATCTAACATTAAAACATAACTTCCAGCCTGATTCTTTTAGAAAAAAAAGCACCTCAATACTTGAAAAAGGACTAACACAACAACTTAATTAAAGAATACTTTGAACACCCAAAAAAGATTTAAGAGTTTAAGAAGCACACCGAATGAATAGAAACATCATCAAGGTCCATGTTGGATCTACATGGGGCCTCAGGACTAGGACTTGGAGAAATCGCATCCAGATCCCCAGCTATGTAGACAGTGTTGACCACACCATAATTACCATTTACAAAGGGTTGCTGCTCATCATGCCGCCATTCACCATCAACAAAAAACTTAAACTGCCAGTAAACAGAAAGAAAACTTGAACATCAGTTTCAGAGTAAGGAACAGATGTGGATGCCAGAGTTAGGACTACAATGCATCTACATAAACAAATGACCAAATTTAGGAGGATCTCTGCTTCATGTATTCGCCTACTCCAGGGTTAGTACACAACATACTTCAAAAGAGAAAAAAATATTTGCAAAGTCGTCGTATCAGTATACTGACAATCTCGATACAAACATGAAGCAGAACATGAATA